GGGGCGCAAGGAGAGGGACAGACACCTAGAGCCAGGCAGCCCAAGCGGCGCGGCCGTCACCTGCTGCTCCTGCCTGCCCGCTCTAGCACAACCAATTGCAACCGCAGCTGCGAGTGGCGGAGAGAGGCAAAGCCATTGCCAGGAGAAACCCTACTCCAAGACCTCCCCCGGCCAGGAGGGTTTGTCTTTGCATCCTCAGGGAGGCTGAGACTTGAAAGAAACCTCCCTGCAGCCCCCACAGAGCAAAAGGTGCCGAGCAGAAGGGACGTCCGTGTGCCACCCCTGCAGAGACCCCGGAGCAAACGGCACCAGAAACTGGGGCTAACTCCAGCAGTGGAGCAGCAAGCTCCCTTCGTGTGCTGCATATCCCGCTGTAGCAGATGCCATGTTAAAGGATAAGAGGGAAGACCCGCTCGCTGCCGATCCCCTACTTGGAGCGATCCGCCGCGAGCAGCCGGGAAGGGACGATGCTGCACAGCAGGAAGCCCCCGAACGCCAGCCCGCTTCCTCCCCTCTCATCCTCCTTCTCCCTCCAGGCTCTCCCTCGCTTCCCACTCCGAGTTCAACGCCCAGAGGAGAGGCTTGGCAGAGCCCAGCCCCGACCGTACCTGCGCGCAGGCAGCCCGCTCCTTCCCTCTCCCGCAGCGCCGGCGGCTGCTCCATTCGGAGGGAGAGCAGCCGCTCGCTCCCGCTCGCTCCCGCGCACGCAGCCCCCCGCTCAGCTCCCCGGCACCCCGCACGGAAGCGCGGCGCCACGAGGGAGGCTCGGAGGGCTCAAAGCACAACCAAGGGTCCTTGCACAAAGGGATGTGCACAACAGCCTCACCTCGGGGCTAACGGGGAGTTTTGGAGGGCTGGGGGAAAGCAGGGGAGGAAGCGACCGACAGATGCACACACCAAGCAGCACGACCGTCCCCAGCAGGCAGCTGGGCAGGACACGGGGCAGCACCCGGCACAGCCCGAGCACCGCCGAGGGCCGTGCCAGCTCGCAAAGCCCCCATCACACACAGGGTGGCGGAGAAGGTCGTTGCCAGCCCCTCTTTGCAGGGCAAGCTCGCTGTGCCCTGCACACTCACCCTCATGTCCCTCCTCGCAGCGGCCAGGAGGCCACCACCCTGTGCAGGGTCCCAAGCACACCAGCCATGCAGACACCACCCTTGTGAGCCCCTTCTGGGTGCAGGGCACCAAGCGACCAGATTTCCTGCAATGCAGGGAGCTTCACAGCACGAGCCTGATAGCTCCTGCACCAGAAAAATGCGCAGGAACAACCTCTGTGTTTACTAAATCCATCTCCCTGGTGCAGTTTCATGAAGGGGTTTTTAAAGCCTGCAATGTCTAAAAGCCCTGAGAAGAAATCCATGCACATCTCCAGTTGATACCAAAAACATAACAAACAAACAAAAAAAAACAAAGAAAAAAGCCAACAGGGGATCTAGTGGATCCACAGCTCCTTTCTCCTCTTTCTATGCATCCCAATCCCCCACTCACCATGATCTGGGACTTGATGCCACATAAGACACCTGTGGAAGGGAGTTCACAGCTGTTCTTGGCCATTTGGAGGTAAGGTAGAGTCTCCTCCTCTAAACAAGCAGCATTAAACCATTGGAAAGTTGCTCCACTGAGGTCCATCATCACCCCCTCTGGCAGCCTCCTGCAAGCAGGAGGGAGCTGGAACCTGCCTTGTGCAGCAGCCTCTGCCATGCAGCCCAGGCTTGGACCCCAGGTTCAAAACATCACCTGGATCACTCTGACCATATCCCCAGGAGACTTCATTTCCATAACACTTCTCAAATGTGGCTGGACAGGAGCAGGGAAGGAAGAAAGGCACTTACTCAAAGCTGACATTCTTCAGCTGCCCCTACAATGTCTACTCAGCAGCTGGACCACAGCAGATGCAGACCCTGCTGCTCCTTTCTCCTCCTGCCTTGCTTGTGACAGCTCATCCCTTCACACAAGACAGCTTTGACATAGATATTGACCAGAACTGAGGCAGCTGGTGCTTGCACTTCTATAAGCAAGACCCATGCTGGCTGAAGGCCCTTCCACGTGGCTCTGCCCCAGTGCAGTGGGTACACGAGGAGCAGCGACTGCTGCATCCTGCAAGGCTCCCTGGGGAGGAGCCCCAGACACTGGATCAAAAACAAAGCTACAAAACAGCAGAAGAGCCCAGGACACGCTGAGAGACGAAACCCCAGCGCAGGAGGCACTTCTGCCTCGGCATCCCGAGAGCCTCATCCACCAGGCTGGAGACAGAGACGTTACCTGTGACAATAGAGCAACACGGTGGCTCTGCTACCACGAGTACTCTGTTGGGACAGACTCTCCCCCATGGAGGAAAAACCTTATACAGCTCCTTATAGAAAAACAGAATGAAAAGTTCCCAAATCCCCTACAGTAAAAGGCGCAGTTAAAGCCTTCAAGTCAAACGAGAGAGAATTTCTTATGAGCCATCTTCAGTGCCAGCATGGGAGAGAAGGGAGAGATTGGGTTTGGCTTATCCACATTTTCAAGACAATCTTTTTTTTTTCTTTTTTTTTTTTTAAAAAAAGCCATAGAGACTCAGAAGTTTTTTTTTTAAATTGGAATTTTCCCGACTGCTAAAAAGCAGCCACTAAAACAAAAAAAAAAAGTCAGCATTAGGTCACCAGTGATATCAGTTCCCTCTAAACCTCGCATGAACAGAGCCAGGAATGAACTTGGAGATCAAGGGAAGGTCTGAACACTAACTTGGGAGTTGGGAAACAAAATTCTTCTTGTTTTAAAATGATACACCCTGCAAGACCCCATTTTTCTACAGCCAGTTAATGCACTTTCATTGGTGTGCTGGAGTGGTATCAAGTGCTGCAGAAGAGCAATATAAGTAACAGGGGAATATGGGAATATGTAGGATTGGTGTAGCCAGGGATGAAAACATTGATCTGATTGCTTGATGGGTAAAAGGATTTTCTGAGGCCAACCAATATGGGAATACAAAGGGTGAGATGTTAATAAGGGTCACCTGTGAGAGGTGAGAGGAAATAGAGGCCACTTGCAGAAGATTAGGAAGGTTGTTGAAATACCCTGGGCTGAGAAGGAGCTGCTGGGCTGTTCCTGCTCCTCTGCCTCCCCACGGGGGAATATGTTATTTCACAGGACACACAAGACCCAAGGTCACAACATGCACATGTAGAAGCACTTTAGACGCAAGCACGAAGCAACGTGAGGAATGCGCATGCACGCACAAAACCACCAGAGACTCGTAAGGGTCCCCACAAACAGGAGGAAAAAAAAAGCTACAAGTGTGCATCTTCATCAAAGCCAGGCCCAGGCCAAAGAAGCATTTCAAGAGGACCAACTGTTCCAAATGCAACACATTTTCTTTTTGCACCATATCTGACAGCAGAAGTCAAACAAATATATGCCGTATGTGCAAGCGTTAGCCCCTTGCTCCTTGGGTGTTGATGTAAGACTCCTCCTTGGCGGATCCTCACGGGCATCCCACAAACGCTCTCATTTTGTCAAAAAGCTGCACGTTGTGCCCGTGGTGCCACAACAAACTGCAGCTCCTCACTGCTGCCCACAGCCCTGGCAGAACAGCCCAAACCCCTGAGGCCAAGTCCTCCTGGAGCACCGCGCACGACAACCCCGGGACTAACGTGCTTATCCGCAGAGACGTAAAGCCCTATGGAAGTGCTACATTTTAATATAGTTGTAATAAAAAGCAGGGGATGCTAGAGACGTGATAATTTCAGTCTAACTAGGCACTTTGCTTTAATTGTCAGTTATTTTGCATTACACACAAATTTCCATGCTGATACCTAGCATAAGCCAGATGCATCCATTTACTAATTTGCCCACCATATCACTGCTTTATAATTCATTTCTGTAAAATTGGTCCAATTCCAACCACAAGTTGAAACGTGCTGTTAAATTTACAGCCAAAACACACTCCTTGGAGGAGCAAAAGGTAAAATAACTCGAAGATCTGCCTGTTGTGAGCCGAACTGAGCACCTCCCATGGGTGGTGGGGCAAGGGGTGCCATGTCCTGCGCTGCGCCGAGCGGGTACCGTGCTGCATCTCACTGCCTGCTGGGATCCGTCCCCAGCCTTGCTCAGTTCTGCCATGCAAAACTCCAATGGGTTTTGCCCAAGGGAACCGGGTGGGGATGAATTACCCCATCCTCAGTCAACCTGTGAATGACCATAGTTCATGAGTCATTGAAACAATGGTTATTTTCCCAAAAAAACCCTGGCAAGAGTCAAAAGAGAGTGCAACAGCTGTTAATAGGATAAAACATTTCAGGAAATACAGCTACAACCCAGCATAACTTCAAGCCCCAGAAAAGCAACAATCAATGAGCAAGAAGTCTCCAGGCTCAGGGACCTACAATCACTACAGCAGTCTGCATTTATAAATAATTACTCATGCCTATCTCAATTGCTGGTGAGGAGTCCGCTCTTACTCCCGGTTCCCCATGACCGGTTTCTCCTGCCCTCCGTAAAGGAGGCATTTCTGGTCCAGCACCTCCCTCCGATGGCCCTGGGCTGAGGGGCCGCCCGGAGCAGCGGCCTGGGTGCCCCGGGACCCTCCTGCAGGCGCCTTCCCCACGGCCACGGG